CTTTCTTTTTTTCGAGGCGTATAGTATTATTTTTTTTTTTTTTGTTTTGTTTTATTTCATAATATAATGAACATAGCTTCCTTAAAAGAAGAGAAAAAATATTGGCATTTCCAGCTCCCTCTTTGTGGAGTTCAAACTATGCGTGACGTTAAAAAAAAGTTGTTTCTTCTCTATTCTTCTCTCTCATCCACACCAATTTGCGTTTTAGACTTTTTTTTTATTTTTTTACCACAAAATTCTTAAACTTGGTGAAAAGATTGTAATAACTCTCGTAATAGACAGAACAAACAAAAAAAAAAGAAGAAACAAGAGGCCTATGTTAGCTCTTCTTTTTTCCCTAACCAAAAAAAGAAATTCTTAACTTGTGTACGATTAAAATGTAATTTTATATACGTTGTCTATCTATTTCATAAAAGATCAGTCGTCGATCTAACACAGAGAAATAATTATTTTTTGTCCATTAAATGCAAATGAATGAATAATGGTCTATAGCACAAACAAATTTTATGCAATGAGTTCTATCTATAGTAATAAAATTATTCCCAAATGCGATTAGACAAATAGACGTGCATCAATAAACAGCGATGAGGGAAGTGTATTTTATTTTATTTTTATTATTATTATTCAAAATGAAAACAATTCAATCTCGAATGCTAATGACAATTTAAGTCATAGCATACGTATATTGTTATTTGGACAGTTTTTTAAATTTTCTATTTTATAAACAATTCAAGAAGAAAAAAACAAGCAGTCAAAAAATTCATTTACAAATGGCGTTCTAAAATTAAAGAAAAAATATAGACAATTATTTATGAAAAACATTTTGTTTTTCTTCTATTTTATAACGGACATGTCCTAAGAAGTCTTTGACAATAACCCCCATCTTATCTTTTGCTTAGTTTTTATTTTCTCTCATAAAAAACGACATTCACCATTGCTTTAGGGATTTGCAAAATTTTAGATTATTTTTGAAAGTTAGTCTATTGATTTTTTATTTAAAATAGTCGTGCTCTATATTAATTAATTATTACGTCTAACTTCAAATAGAAAGAGTACATAGATAATAAAGCTAAATTGTTTATATTTATTTGTTCTATTGTAATAATCAAGTATAAAAAGTATGTGTATACCATTGAATATCTGATAATAATATTTATCGTCCGGAAAAACGAAAAAAAACAACAAAAAAAAAAAAAAAACCGTATGACGAGACAAACTGTAGAAGATAAATTATCAGTAATAGGCAGCTGTTTACATATGTTTGTGAATAATAGCAGTAAGAAAATGTTTCAGTAGACCATAATTTCTCCTTAGTAGTAAACTAAATTCTAAATCAATGCTATTACAGTGCGTACAAATACAAAAAAAAGAATGTATCTCGTTTGTTTATAAATGTTAAAATAAGTATTATAGTCTGTCTATTTTGGGTTTTTTCCTGTCTTATTTCATCTATCATCATTCATCCATAAGATCAATCTAAGAAAAAAGGTATGTTACTATTGTCATCAATGTTAATTTAATAGTCAGTCTGATAAATTGGATAATAATTTTTTCACTTATTTTTATAAATCTATGACCTCTATAAAAAAATCTTGACGAATAATGAGAGAAACCTATACCATATACCGTCCATTTATCTCAAAAAATACACTTGAATAAAGAAGGGAAAAAGAAACGAAAGATTAGTTTCATATTATTTGCGCTTTTGATTGTTGTAAAGATGAGGTACATTAAATGTATGGTGCTTCTTATTCCTCTTCCTCTTATCTATTTCACGAACATTTGCCAAATAAATACATTTACATCAAGATATTGGGCAATACATGAATCTCTTATATTTCTATATAACTGCATGTACATTTATATTTAATAGAACAGGTATAAAACAAATTATGGATAGATAGATGAATGAATCAGTAGTATCCGCCTATATTGAATTTTTCAACTGGTACGTAGAGTTATGTAGAATAAAACATTTTTCATGTCCAATATTCTATCCAATAAAAATTTCTTGACGTTTCTTTTTCTGCTCATCAATATAATTTAATGTGTAATACAAAGAACTATATAAAATATTCCATTTTTTTATCTAGACGAGCGAAATTGTTAGCAACACTAACGTATATATTATCTAAATGCTGTAGACTTAATAAAAAAAAAATATTGTCTTTTTGCGATAAACTGTTTACCATTTATAGTGATAACCTCTAACTCTTTTCTTTTGGATATATGGACTCTTTTAACAATTCATCTACAAATCTACAATCAAGAGTGTAGATCATAATAATCGAACAGAAAGATGACAAAAACAAACACATGTTTATATAACTTATAAAGCTCTTCAAGCCTGCAGTGATATATTCAAAATAGTCAGAAAAAATATTATTGTATCCTTTTTATCATTTGATGTTCTGAAAATACATTATTCTAATATCAATAGTAGCAACATCAGTATTAGTGTAGTAACACATATGAACAAAAAACAATTAAGTATTGAAGGTTTATTCCCCATACTCAAGGTCTAAGAATAAAGTAAAGCAAAAATAAAGCAGTCAATCATTGTCACATACCTTTAATCACTCTTAATATTTGTCTTATTCAATATCTATAAAGATCAACTTTTCTAGATACAATCTTGTAAAATAGACAATAATAATTAACAAATAGAACTAAAACACTTTTGCAGTTTTCCCAACAACGAATAAAGTATGTGTGTCTGCCTATTTAAAACAATAATAATACGGATTATCGTTTAGAGAACAAAAAGTCGTCTGTTATCATGCCAGTTCAATAATAATAATAAGATAAATCTTATATATACGACATTTTCGATATTTTGCCTCTTTATTTTAATACACTGGACATCTTTTATATACTCTTCTCTCTCTCTCCCTTTGTCTCTTTTTTTCTTTCAATGTATGTGTCAACTAGTACCATGTACAAAAAAAAGATTTTCTTGGAATATAGGAACAAAAAAAGAAAACGAAGAAGGATTCTTGATTATTATCATGGACAAATTACTTTTTCAGCTTCTTATTATCTTTTTTTAGCAGAAGAAGACAACAACTAGTAGACCGATCTAACTCTATTCTTGCTTCTTTCTTTTTTGTGTCATCAGTCATTTTTCCAAAAATTATATGTCACATTCAACGCTACAACTATATTACAGTGATAAGTTTCTGCACAATGAAACACCAAAGAGATATTGTTTTGTTTGTGTGAACCGAGAATGTTATTTACTGCAGATAAATGAAATATTGTTCTATTATTTTATTCGACAGATATAGACAAAAAAAAAAACTTGTTTAAATTAGATGAGACAGACAAATAGTTATTCAACTATGATTTATTAGAAACATTTTTCTTTTCTTTTTCTAGTGATTGCATCTAATTTGCGGATTTTATACTGATTTATTCTATTATTCATACTATATGACTAGTCTTATCTAGAACCTTCTAGAGTATCAATAGAACAAACAACTTTCATTAGATACCTAATTTCATTTTCAAATCTATTATATTTAAATCTGTAAACACACTTTCGTACAAAATAGGATAAATTTTTGTTTTTCTCTACAATATCAGATAATAGAAAAATCTCTCTTTAATTTATTAGTAACAGAGTTAAAAATTAACTCGACAGCAATTTGTCAAATATGAGGAGTGATGCTCAATGACAAATTGATTCTTGTTTACTAAATAGAAGAATTTTTCTACAATGATCAAAATGAATAGTATAGATATATTATTATTTTTTCTCTCTATTTAATAAAATAAACTGAATGTAAAAATAAAACTCATAAAGTAATCGAACTAAATTGACGTTTGTTCGTTAAACAAAATAAAAGCAAACATACTTATTAGTACGTGATTTGAAAATATAAAATATTTTCTTTGCTCTTCTCTTTTTTTATTTTTAATAAGAGACCCATTTTTGACATATATATTCAAGTTCCTGATCTAATCAATTAGAAGAAAAAAAAATTCAGAGACAAACACACTGAGTAGTCTGAAATGAGTTCTTCTTTTTTTTTTTCATCTAATGAAAAAATTATACAATTTGTTCACCATTGTTCAAAATAGTAGTACATCGATCAAATGTAAATTGATTTTATAACAAAAAACAGATGAGGTCTAGAGAAGGAAACGGCATAGAACTGTTGATTATCATAAAAAATACTAAATTTAGATTGGAAATAAAATAATTTATGCAATTGGTTACTAGATCAGAATAAAATAGAAAATATTCACTTCAATCAATCCACGAGCAATGAATGATTAAAATAGTTAAAAGATCCATTATTTTTGTATTCTAAGCTAAAACTATCCGAAAAATCAACATGATTACTAAGAAGTCAAATGCTCGTTTTAGTTAAAGTAAATCTATATCAAAATATATAGAGCAAATTATAAGGATTAAAAGCAACAACACAATTCACCAGTAGTAAAGAAATTACTATGAGATAATAATTAGAAGATAACAACAAAGAATGTAAATAATTATTATTATAAATCGAAATTTCAATTTGAAATATATGTCTGTTCGTCATTGCTTTAGAAAAATGTTGTTTTTCGTTAGCAGAACAGTTTTATGAGTTCTAAAAACATGATTGCACAACAAAAAAGGATCTCGTTAATCTGAGAGTCAAGCGCTAGCCATACTATTAATAGCAAAACTATTCGTATTCTGTTTTGTTATAAATTATTACACATTTATACTGCGCTACATCCCAATAACTATTCAAGATCTCGTGTAATGTTTAACAATAACATACGGATCATACTTTTACATCACTAAGTTAAGCCGTCAAAGCACATCGACAATCGATGAAACTAGCGCCCAGGAAGTTTTTGCACTAGAAAATTTAATCTTAAGTTACATCGTAACTGATAATATCGAGTCTACTATAAATATTTTGCTACACATAACAAATACCAGTAACAACAAAAAAGACATTGAGCTAAAAAACTAAGAGTTGAAAATGTTATTCACAATTTCCTTATTGTTGTTGAGATGACGATGAAAATTCACGACGAACAGATGTTGAATAGCCTTGCCCAGCACCACCTGAACTAAATCCACTGCCACTTCCAAAACCCGATGATCGAGCACCGCCTGAAATCAATCCACTGATTCCGCTTGATGATCCTCCTGTACTTTGTGTAGTAATAAATGTTCGTTGGATTGTTGAAGATCTTCCACCACCATAACCAATTGAACCCACCACATTGGTCGAGCTGCTGGCCGCTCTTTCCGATTCCAAACGTCTTGCTTCTTCCACAACATGGTCAACAATCTGTTTCAAACCTTCACGATTATTGGTTCCTTCTAATAACTCTCGATAAGTGTTTATTTCTTTTTCCAAAGATGTTTTCATTGTTGTTACTTCATCGTACTCTTTTTGAAGTTGTTCTAATTTTCGTCTTAATTCATCGATTTCAGCCGCTCGTTTTTGAACAATACGTCCACCTATATAAATAAAATTAATAAGAATATTTTTTTATAAAAAAAAAATGTTTTAGACAACATACCTTCATCACGTTCTTGATCAATATGTACTTGTAATTCTCTAATTCTATTATTTAATTCTTCATTTCTAGCTTTCATATGTGCTACTTCATTTCTTGTCGATAATAGTGTTGTACGTAATTTTTCTTCTTGTACACGTTGTTGTTCACTTTGAATTGGATCCAAGTCTGGTTTTTGATGACGAAGAATCAATTCATTATAAGACATCATATAACGGTTATGTAAATCAGCACGTTGCTGATCATTCAATGCTTCAAATTCATTTCGTATGTCACGTATCGCTTGTGCTAATTCATTTCTGAAAAAATGTGATGGATCCAAATTGACATCAACAACTGTTTTTGAACGTAATTCATTCAAGTCAGCTTCATCTAAACAACAACAATCACAAAAATAAAATATACAATGCATATTTTTTACAAGTGTAAAGTGGAAATTAGAAAGAACATTTTCTCTAACAGTCGATCAACATTCTAACTAGTCAGAATCAGATTCGGTTAAATTAACACGCGTGCGAGGTTTTTTCAAAGATTCCTTGTGGCTATAGATTGAGAAAATATCTTAGTCAAATACGAAAACTTACGCATTTGTTTTAACATGGCTAATTCGTCTTCCAATGCCATTTTTTCTGTATCTAATGATGATTTGACAAATGTTTCATTTTGAATTTCATTTTGTAAACGTGCGATTTCTGATGCTAAACGTTGTGTTTCTGCTTTATAACGTCTTGCTTCATCTTCAAGATCGCCTAGTCGTCGACGAAATAAGTTTATTTGCTAAAATGAATAGAAATATTTGAAGTAAAATGAGTATTTTGATGTAAAAACTGTATACATACATCGATAGCAGGGAAAGAGGGAAATAATATGTTCTCCGAAGAAGAAAATGTTCTATCT